CAGTAGGAAAGGAGAGGGGGCTCTGTTTCGGGATTAAACACCATGATTGGGAAAACAATTTCTTGAAATGAGAGGGAATTAAATGATAAGAAGAAGAGGAGTGTGATTAAAGGGTGTATTAGAAGATGGAAGCCGGATGTGATTTGTCTTCAGGAAAACACAGTGGAGAAGGTGAAACAGAATATTATAAGTGCTTATGGCAAAATAAGAAGGTGGAGTGGGTGTATATCCCGGCTGTGGGTGCGGCTGGGGCGTATTATTAATGTGGGATGGGGAAAAATTTAAATGTAAGGAGTCGGAGGTGGGTCAGTGTCCTATTTATTTGAACAGTGTGGTGGTGGAGAGCCTTGGGCGTTCACAGGGTGTATTGCAGGGGTACTAGAGAAGAAAAAGATAGGTTATGCAATGGACTTCAACATTGTAAAGTTAGATAGGGGGAGAAATGGGTGGATTGAGGAGTTTAAGAACTTGGTGGATAAGATGGAATTGGTGGATTTGCCGCTGGTGGTGACCCTATGGACCCACTCTAACAAAAGAGATAACTCATTTTGATCGAGAATCGATCGGTTTTTAATTTCTAATACTTTGTTAATGCAGCTTGCAGGGCTTAGTCAAAAGGGGTTGCAGCGGCCTGTTTCGAACCATTTCCCTATTTGTATTACTCTGGAAGGTATTATTTGGGGTCCAGATCTGTTCAGATTGGATAATAAATGAATTAGAATGGAAGGGCTTAGGATGTTGGTGGAAGAGGTGTGGAAGAAACATAATGTGAATGGCACAACCAGTTACATTTTTGCTTCCAAACTGAAGGCATTGAAAAATGAGATCAAGCTTTGGGTAAAGGAAGAGGGGAGCAAGGCTGACACGATTATTAAAGAGCACTTTGAGGAGCTTGCGGTATTAGATAATATGGATATGAAGGGCTTGCCTAGTGAGAATGGGAAGGAAAGGAGAGTTAACCTTAAAAGAGATATAGCTATATCTTGGAGACAAAAAGCAAGAGAGAAATGGCTTAAAAAGGTGGATAGATATACCAAGTATTTTCACTATTTGGCTAATTATAGGAGAAAAAATAACTACCTAGAAGAGATGTGGATTAATAGGAAGAGGGTCAGAGGTAATATTGATTTGAGCCAGAAGACTATGGCTTTTTTCCAGCACCTATACAGGGAAGATGGGGGCCAAAGACCTCGGCTGGATGATCTTTCTTTCAAACAGATCAGTGTTGACAGTAACGTGGGACTGGAAGTTCCTTTTTCGAAAGAGGAGATTCTAAATTGCTTGAAGGAATGTAATGGGGATAAGACTCTGGGTCCTTATGGGTTTCATATGAGATTTTATCAGGAATTCTAGGATGTGATTAAAGATGAGGTGATGACCGTATTTTAGGATTTTCATAGAACAAGCTCCTTTCTTCAATCAATCAATTCTACTTTCTTGGTGATTATCCCAAAAATCATAGGAGTCAACAATATCAAGGATTTCAAGCCGATCAGTCTTGTGAAAAGTTTTTACAAGTTGATTTCCAAAGTGTTGGCTAAAAGGATGTCTAAGGTATTAAGTGAGGTCACTGGGGAGAATCAGAATGCTTTTACGGCGGGAAGGCAAATTCTCGATGCGGTTATGGTGACCAATGAAACTGCTGATGATATAGTGGGACAGAAAAAAAAGGATATAATTTGTAAGATTGACATGGAGAAGGCCTGTGATCATGTATGTTGGAATTTTGTTATGTATATGCTTGAGAGACTTGGGTTTGGGGATAAATGGAGGAAGTCGATCACGACATGCATATCTACGACATCATTTGTTGTTTTGGTGAATGGTGGTCCATCATCTTTTTTTAGGGCTTATGGGGTTTCCGACAAGGAGATCCAATGTCGCCTCTATTATTTCTCACAGTCATGGAAGCTTTTAGTAAATTAATGGATAGGGCTGGCAAACTGAATTTGGTTAAAGGCCTCTCATTAGGGGTTGGGGACTCTATGGTGAAGGTTTCTCATCTTTTTTTTTTTGCAGATGATGCCCTCATTTTCTGTTAACCGAATATATTCTCTTTGTTGCATTTGAGATGCATCCTTTTGTCTTTCCAGTTGGTTTTTGATTTGAGAATTAACATATGGAAGACGAGATTGGTCAGAATTGGCGATAGGAGAGATGAGTTGAGTTTGGCGGACGTTTTGGGGTGCAAAGTTACCACATTGCCCATAAATATTTTGGACTTCCACTTGGGGCTAAATTCAAAGATATTAATACATGAAACCATAGTG